GAAATGCACCATTGATAGACATAAAGATCTGTCAGCACAAATACTATAAGACAATGGAAGCTATTAAACTCTTACCTAAGGTAAGACACAAAGTTTCACATTTGGATACTACCGAAACATCACATATGTCATTTTATATCCTATTAAGAGTCATAGACTATTCTATTAAGGAGAAGATATTCCTGCAGATGTGGATTATTTGTATGTGTGGGATGATTACATGTGATTTTAAATGTAGGGCTCTTAGCCCTATTCCTACGGAGATGCCTTTGTCCATAACAGGTCACCTGGTTGACAAGTCTCCCTCCTGCTCTAGAGTTTAAATGCTGTTGCAACGAAGCAAATTATGTTTGAAGCTCACTCTCTGAAAGAGCAGGTTGCCACACTGAGAATGGTGTAGTCAAAAAAAAAAAAAAGAAAAATCAAAACTATACACTGCTGTGTGACTATCGCTCCATTATCTGATCTGGAGAAGCATCAGAAAGACAAGAAGAAAACATATATTGACTGGGGACCCACTTCCTGCAGATTCAGGCCTTTATAAAAATGAATGGGCAGGCAACATGGAGAATGACCCCATTGAACAGACCCAAATCCTGGTCAAAAAAAAAATTAGATGTCTTAATTTGTCTGCTTGTTAAATTAAACTTTTATTCTGAAGAAAGCACACTGAACCTAAAGATGGAGACTGTTTTGTATTTTTCTTCTTTTTATTGGATTAAAAAATGACAAAATTATTCCAGCACTTTCTATAACTTCAAATATCGAAGAGGTGGAAATAAAAACAAACTATACTGTGATTTCTTGCTCAATCCTGGAGTAATCAGTATTACCAGTTTCTGAATCCTTCTAAAACTTTAAAAATCTTTATGCAAATGTATATTCATGTGGGTTTGTTCTTTTCTTTCCTTTTTGAAAAAAGAATAACTAGGTTTCCATTATTTCCTTTTTCAATTTCTAATATGTAAGAGGAACCCATCCCCAATCAATTCAGGGAAGCAGAATAACCACGGGGAGGTTACGAGCTTGCATTCTGCAGTAAGACTGTCTCATTCAAATTTAGACCTGACCACATACCAGCTATGTGAGGTTGGGGAAAATATCTGATCTGTATGAACTTTAATTTTCTCATCTATAAAATGGAAATAATAATAGTTTCTAAATCAAATTGTTGTAACAAGGATGGAATGAATTTATACACATAAAACAGGAAAAACACAGCTAGCACACAATGAGAGCTCAATAAAAGCTACATATTATTACCACCATTGAACACATTATTTTTAATAGCTACATAACAATGCATGAGATTTTCCTGATTTATTCGATCATTCTCTATAGAGGTTGTACCTAGCTTTTGTATATACTTCTCTCTCTCTCTAGATACATATCTATATCGATATAGAGATAGATCTATCTCTCTATATAGAGAGATAACAAGATATAGATGTATAGATATAGCACCTTGGGTATAGGTGTTTTTATTTCCATACTACTGGTTCTCCAAGGTGGTTGGTTTAGTCAAAGAGTATTTACATTTTCACTTTTTTAACATTTCTTGTTATCTCTTTTATTCAAAAATTCTTCTCATATTAAAGATAGGAAACAAAGTGACCAGGCTAGTTTTACATAACATTAGAAGGATTTTCATGACGTGATTTATATACTAGTGACAAGCAGAAGACATTGGCTTCTGATCCTTGACAATGAACCTGCAGAAGCAAATGACCATTTGTCAAAGGATGAAGATTAATTGCTGAGTTTATTTATGGAGACCACAAGTGAAAGTTTTGGAATAGGATGATAAAATAAAAACAATTGTCTTCCAGGAGTAATTAAATCTTGTTCTTCCTCAAGATAAGACAAATCACCCTAAAATGTCAGAACCCACCCTTGTATTATTCCTCCCTTTCTAGCCACACCTGCATTTCAAAACCTCCAAGCAGCTTCAAATTCCAACTATTGCTATCATGTTATCACACAGTAGTCTAGTTTCCTATTGATGAACACCATTCCTTAAACAATTTGGAAGTATAACATACAGATGGAAAAAGGAGAAATCATAAATATATAACTTGATAATTATCTTTTGCAAAATGAAAATATTTTCACAGCCACACCCACATCAAAAGATAGAACATGAAATTTACCAAAGAAGTCCCTCTGGTGCTCCCTCCTTCCAACAAAGAAACCACCACTCTAACTTCTACACTAAGAGTTTAGTCTAAGTTGGTGTGTGTGTGTGTTTTAATTGCATGTAAGTAGAATCATAAAATATGTACCCTTCTGTGTCTGGCTGTTTTGTTCAACATTAAATTCCTCATCTTCCCCCATGCTGTTGAGTATGATGACAGTTCATTTTCATTGATGTGTAGTTTCCACTCTATGATTGCATCACTATTCATTTTCCAGATGCTAGGGCAGTTAGGGTATTTCAAATTTTTATTTGTAAACTTTGTTTCAATTATTTTGCTGTTATGAATAAAGAAGCCTTTTGGTACCCATATGTACATTATTTATGTTAGGTTTATACGTAAAAGTTGAATTTGCTAGATCTTTGGTAATACACATGTTAATCTTTAAGCTGTTTCTACCAAACAGCTTTCTAAAATGATTGGCCAATTACACCCAATTCAGTTATTCTACATTTCACAAACTTCAATCATTTTACTTCTTAATTTTCCATTCTGTTGAATTTTTTGATATCTCTTCATGTTTTAAATGTCATATCCCTCTTTTAATGATGAACATAGTGTAGTACATAAAGATGTTGATTTAAAATGATATACACCCAATACCTTATCTAATGGTATAAATCAATGTTTCTTCAATTTTTTATGTTATGTCCCTGAAAAATAATAATAATAATAATATTGAAAATATGCTTATGTCTCCTTGTTTAAGCATAGGTCTTTGGTCCAATCAATAATGAGTCAATTAATAAATGGTCATTATTTTTTCACACTAATATATACAGGAATTCTTAATATAATCTAGAAACTAGTCCTTTTTTGAGTATATGTAAATATTTTCTGCCACTCTAGCTTGACATTTCACTATCTTAGTTGTATCTTAAAATATATTCCAATTTATTTGTCTTTTACTTTATGATCGGTATTTGTTCTTAGGTCTTATTATGAAAGTTCTGCCATTACCAACATCATGAATACAGATTCCTATGGTTTCCTCTAGAAACCTTATTGCCTATCTTTCACACTGAGTTCTACAATCAATTTGGAATTGATTTTGTATATATTGTCAGGTAGAAATTGAAATGCATATTTTTCTATACAGCTATCCATTTGCCCTAGATTCATTTGTTAAAAAGATTGATTCTTCCTCCCTGCAGAGTCACCTCTGCCATAAAGCATGGGACTGGATCCATGCAAATCTCTTCCTGGACTCCATTCCTTTCCATTGGTCTATAGCTGTGCTTGTTCCAATTCCACCGTATTATTGTAGCTTTTGTTCGCCTGGAGAACTAGACATGTGTATCAGCTTCTTTTTTAAGATGATCTTGGCTGTTCTAGGTCCTTTGCATTTTTATGTATATTTTTCAGCTACTGTAAGGGATATCATTTACATTTTCATTTTTAACTATGTGCTCTGCTACATAGAAAAAGTATATATTGGTACATTGGTATTATATAGAGTAACTTAGTTACATCCACTTACTCATTGTTAGAATTTATCTCAATGCTATTTTGGATTTTCTGTATGTGTGAATGAGAATTTGATTCCTTTCTTTCCTGCACTTATATCTTTTTATTTTCCTTCCTTTACTTTACTGGCTAAGAATTCCCCATGTAATGATTATGAGAAATGAAAAAAAGTGTCTTTTAACATATGATTAATTTACTTTTCAATTCAGGGTAAAAGAAGTTCATTTAATGAGTGGCATTATAAAATTGTCTACTACTAAAGCTACACATTTCCTTACCTACGTCTTGTGTTACTTTTTAAAATTTATTTCTAGGCATTTTATAGTTTTATTATTGTGATGGAATTTCAAATTACTAATTCTTGTATCAGGTGTTTTATCAGATTCTATTAATTCTAAGCATTTCAAGTAACTACTGGGTTTTGGTTTTACAATTATATCACTTACAAATATAATTTTATTCTTTCTATTTTATTATTTCTTAATATTTATGTTACCGATTATGTTCTTTGGACAAATTGAAATAAGCAAAATTTTCAAAGTAATGTTGATTCACAGATGTCCTACTGAGTTTTATTATTCCTGAAACTTCTATTTAAATTATAAATAGAAAGGAACCATTTAAACATGTTCCAGGCCGTTTATGAGATAAAATTTTTATTGAACCAAAAAATAAAAAAGCCACTATCATCAAAATCTTAAGTCCAATTTAGAAAAGAATGTCGAATTAGATGAAAATGCTTACTTTATTTCATGCACTATATCAGAGCTATAAGTGTTAAAAGTTTCTGAATATGCCTGAGGAAGTGAGAGTTAAAGTTTCTTCTCAGAGAATTCAAGATTTAAAAAATAAAATAAAATTTACAAGATTTCAAATGAAATGATAGTGTTAAAAGGTAAAAGTATTTCTTTAGACATGTTTCTTGACCTTATCTATTCAATCATTATTTACCTGGGCAGTGAGACCACACAAATTTTTACAATAAGAACACACCCCTGATGTGTGGACCCTTGAAGGGACTTGCCCAAGGTTCCATAGTTAGTTAATCAGAGCAAAGGATTCATACCCAGGCAGCCTGGCCCTCAGGACACACTCCTAACAGTTCTCTGCCTGCCTCTCCCCTACTGCCCAGCTGTCAGTCAACCATGCAGTGCCTCTGCTCAGTGCAGCTGCCCCACCCTCTCCCAACTGACTTCCTTCTCTTGCCCCTCCCAAGGGCTTAGCGGACACATTTCCAGCTTCAGCTTTTGGAAAGATAAGGGAGGTTCTAGGCCTGCTGTAGGAAATTTCTCAAGTAAAGTTAAGCTTCAGGAAAATTTATTGAATTTCTCTCTTTATTATTCAGTGGAAACAAGATTGGCAATGGCAAAAAATGAAATCAAACAGTAGTCTTTAATTTTTTCTTTTTTTTCATAAATAGTTTTGAGTCCAAATTGTCCAGGGTAAGATACTAGGGAATTCTGCTTTCTTTTCCTTCATTAGGAAAGGCTTTGTAGAGAGAAAGGAAGAAAACAACTTGGCAGGTGGCAAACTGCAAATCAGTTGAAGTTGTTTATGATTTGTTGAGCAATATTAAAGACATGGTGATGCTTTTGCCTGTGTAGAGAAGATAAAAGTCTGAGATAGTAGGAGGAAGGTAAAGGAAGTTAATCAACTTGGGGAATACTGAAGAGCTTCATTAATATCTTGCCCGGACTTGAACTTGTTTTGAGGAGTTTTGAAAACCACTGAGAGTTAAAAGTTATTTGCCAATGCTGTATTTTATATGAGCTTCTGCATGGAAACTAGATTCTGTCATAATGAAAGATTTTATTACTTCTGTTCTTTTGTTCCAATAATTGTCCTTGATAGAAAGAAAAATCTTACAGTGTCATAGTATCTATGATTTTTCTCATCTAATGAGTTTTTATTGAGCACCTACTCTGAAACCTCTTCTTGCTTCTCAACACAGTGTCAGTTACCTTTTCAAGTGTTAATGACCAAGTAAAAAAGGAGGAAAGCCAAATTACCAGTAATCAATTAGGTTTGCCTTCTCTTGCACTTGATAAGTGGGACACTGAAAGCCTTGTGATATGGATGGATTTGACTTTCTTCCTTTCAAGAGCTTTAAAACACAGAGAGTAACAGCCATGGAAAAATATTTTTAATAACTTTAGGTAGGAACGCCCATACTGTTTTCCCACAGCATTCTCACGTAAACATTTTTGACCATGTTTTCTAACTCTTCTTAATATATATCAGTTGAGTCTTTGAAATCAATGATTTATTGCATTTTTTTCAGAGTGGGGAAAAACATCCATTCCAAATCAAAAGGAAAACATGATAATAGCTTACTTAACAATTTGTATCATGAATGACTGATGGCCCATCTAATAAAAGTTCCAGATGAGACAGAACCAGTTATTTTTGGTTTCAATGTATTTAATATGATTAAGAGAATCCCAATACCAACAGTAATTGATATGATCCTTCCCTTCTCAACTCTTAGGGAGCTTAGAAGAGCTTGAACACCACTCCACCAGACCACAGACGATTTCACACTTTGCTGAGAACAAGATCATCTTTTCACCACTCTAACTTTTGTCTGTTTTTTTTGTTTTGTTTTGTTTTGTTTTACATAATATGAGATCAACGGGTCATCTTGGTAAGATAGCAGTTTTGTTAAATTAAATTTTAAAGAAAAACATTGTTATAAAGACAATTGTCAGAGAACAAGAAAATTAAAAGTGAAAGTCAGGATAGAGGAGAGACAGCAGCTGTGCTGGGAACTGGATCAAATGTTACTCTTAGAATAGGGTAGAGTCTTCTTACATGACCATCCCCATCATCATCACTACAACCACAGGCCTGGACATGGTTGTTTTTTCCTTGAGAGCTCTAGCAAAATTCTCCTTTAGATGATCCTTTAGATAAAGGATAATTCTAAGATATGTTGCCCCTTCTATACAGGAAATCAAATGCTTCAACTCAGTCAAAAAATGTTTCAGTCACATAAGGGGCCCTCTCTCCTTTCTCACATTGAAGTAGATATCAAAAATGCTTTGAACAAGTCCCTTTTATTGATATACACGAAGAGCATCTACAGGAGGGCATTATATTGAGACTACATTCACTGGGATGTATGTTTGAAAAAACAACTTACATTATATTCATAGTTTACAGCTGTGGCATAATGAAAAATAAATATTTGGGTTTTGTCCAGGTCACTAGCATAGAGCTCCTAAAACCCTTGGAAATTGCTTTCTTTTGTATGCTAATAGATTGACTCATGGGCCTGCACAGTGCCTAGGTAGGTTTAGGATGGGACTCCTTGCCAGGAAAAGCAACCCTGTGATTAGAGGGTCAAAAAGTTCACCCTTTGCCCCAAGCCCTGGGGAGAGAAGAGAGGCTGGAAATGACTTCTGTCATGACAGCAATGTTATAATCAACTGTGCCTTCATAATGAAAACACTAGAAAGGTGGGCTTGGGAGGAGTTTCTTGGTTGGTAAGCACATGAATGTGCTGAGAAGGTGGCACACCCAGAGAGGGCTGGATGTCCATATCTTACTCTGTAACTCTCTGCAATGTGAGCTGTTCTGCCATATTTCCTTACTACTAAACTGATAATTTTAAGTTAATGACTTTCTTCAGTTCTTTGAGTCATTCTAATGCGTTATTGAACTTATGCTGGCATCAAGGAAACTCCCAACATGTCTGCTGGGCAGAAATGTCAGTAGCCTGGAAACCTCATTTGCAGTTGGCATCTGACCTTGGGGGCAGTCTTGCAAGATTGAACCCTTGGTTTGTGGAGTCCATGCTAACTCTGGCAATAGTGTCAGAATTGAGTTGAATTGATGGGGTCAGAGAATCGTAGAAACTTTTGGTGTCCGGAAAAACCACAAAACATCATGTCTGATATTATATAAATTAGGGCAGTGGCTAGTAGTACATCCCTTTGGGGCCTGTAGTATTGTCTGTCCTCCACCATCACCTTGGAATCTATGTGCACACATTGCCCTTCCTACCCCACCTCGGCCTGGCCAAGGCACTGTTGATGAGAAGTGTTACGACTGGCAGTGATATCTGCATTATGGACGTATGCCTCTTGCAGGGTTCTATTTGAGAAAACAATCCTTTAAGACTACAAGAGCCCCTTAAAATAGTGAAAGTTTCAGCTGTACATATCCTGACTTATTCTGACTACTCAGGACTCTAAGGCCTAGAGAAAAGAGTCTTTGAAATCTGACACCCTATTGTGCAGAAAGAACAGCTGCTCGCTCTCTCCAGGAAAGTATTTTTCACCATACAGAGAACTAATAAAGGGTCTCAAACAGGGCAAATACCCTTTAAGATATCAAAAGCTCTAATAAGAACAGGAAGCATGAGTTATCCAGCCTGCAACGAAGTGAGTAGAATGAAGATTAGATGAGCATTCTTAGCCGATGGTTCAGTGTTTATAAGCAAAGGTTCGGGGATAGAGTTAAAGGAAAAAGTTTTCTTGGATTTAACAGAAATGGCTGTATATTCAATGTACTGTAAAACTGAATGTCTGCTCCTTATTCTCTTGGGAGCTGTGAAAGTAGAAATCCTGATATAGTACTTATACATGATTACATTTCACTTTACATCATTGGCTTCATTTTCAGAAAATGGTTTTAAAGCTTTGCCAAGTCCTTGTTTTTATGCTCTGAAAAAATAATTTCTCTGAGAAAGGAAGCCTGCACTTATTGAGGATTGGATACGGGCTGGAGTCTTGCTGCAAAGAGTTTATTTCGCTTGTAAATTAACTGTTAAAATGGAGGTCAAAAGAAAATGCGATTGAACTATGGGTCATATTGTAGAATGTATTTTTAATCTTGAGTGGGTGAACATATGTATGATGTTTTCCCCTGACTTCCACATTAGCAAATAAACATTAAACCAGAAAGTATGTTCCAAGTTCTCTTTAAAACTCTTCTATTTCCAATAAAGAAAGATTCATTGAGCACCCTTTGGTATTCATCACTAGTCAGGGGTCTTCATTTTTTATTTTTTAACTTATCACTGCAGTTCAACTTCCTGGGAAGCAGGCAGTGAGATGAACTTAGTTTTCAGAAATCTAGTGAGGGATGCTCTTGGGATCCACACCCATGGGGACAGGGAAGAAAACTGGATTAGGTAGAAAGAGAAGATGGGCTGTGATTCAGTCACAACATGGGAAGATCTGAAGCTGGAATGGCCCATTGGATCTGTCCCAAATCACATGGAGAGGTCAGATCTCTGCACCCCCATGTAAACCAGCAATTGGAAGTATACTTCCCTGACAAAGAGGACTTTAATCAAGAGCAATTCCTGGAAGAGGGTCAAGAGCTGTGTTAATCAGCACATTTCCAGAACTGATAAAATGAATTCTTCACTCCTTAAGGGGAGATCTGTGTGACTCAGTGCAGGGACAGGACAGGGATACATATTTAATTCAGTGGTTAACTATACAGATGTTATGCAAACTGCATATTGGTGTATAACTAATGCATGATAAGGGGAGACTGATAGTAATAACCAAGAATTCTTATACCAAATTTCCTCATGATTCTTTCCTGGGTCATGGTAAAACAAGCTTAATACTTTCTCAGTATCATTTCTATTAATTGTTTTATTTGATTACCCTTAGGAACATGCCCATTCTAGAGTATGAGGGAGAGAGTTAGAAACTAAGGAGTAGGAAGAAGATTCAGAAATAATATCTCCCTTCAAATAATTCTTTGTTGTAAACTTAGATATGAAGAACTCAATAATTTCCCCTGGAATCTAGTTTTATTTGAGAAACTCCCTATGGAAGTCATAGAACCTTCCATAACATTCCCAAAATTGAAAGTGTGAAAATGTTGGTGTCCAGTGTGCTGAGCCCATGGGAGGGGCAGGAGAAGGAAGTCAGGTGAGAGAGGGTGGGGTGGCTGCAATGAGCTGGGCAGTAGGGGAGAGGCAGGCAGAGAGCAGTTAGGAGTGTGTCCTAAGGGCCGGGCTACCTGGGTATGAATCCTGGCTCTGATTAACTAATTATGGAACCTTGGGCAAATCCTTTTAAGTTTTCAGGCTTCAATTTCTCTCATGAAAAATAAGGAGGGGTCTCCCTAGTGGCTCAAGGGGTTAAGTGTCAGCACTATGAAGATATCCGCAGCCACTGCAGGATGAGTTCAATCCCCGGCCAGGGAGCTGACCCACATGGCACAGCAGATCTCTCATATCTTGCCCACTGTTCCCCTCAGCAGTGTGTTTCAGTCAATCCATCTGTTCTGCTCCCCACTCTGTCTCTGGTGAACCCTCTTACCTCTCCACACCTCTGACCTGTACCCCAGCTCTTGTATGCATAAATAAAAATCTTAAAAAAAAAGAAAAATAAGGATAGTAATAGTACCTGCCTGAACTAGAAACAGAAACCTAAGGTCAAACATGTCAATTCAGAATGCATGTATGTATTAATTTCTTACTGCTGTAAACAAATTTACTGCAAACTTAGTGGCTTACAATAGCAGAAATATATTCTCTTACAGTCCCAGAGATAAGAAACCTGAAGTCATTTTCATTATACTAAATCAAGGTGTCTGAAGGGCTGGTTCCTTCCAGAGGGTCGAAGGGG